AGTCGTGTTGAGACTGTCGAGGAGTGTCCTATTAACCCGAATCACTTGAGGGACGTGTTGAGTTTCTTTCTTTCCTTTGTACCTATCGTCCGCTGTTATTAAATCGACACATCGTTCACGTAAAATTCCGAAAACACACTTGATTGCCGATAACACTAATTTCATACGACAAGGTCAAACTTAATTTGAATAAATAGGCCAGGTACTGAGAAGACTAAACTAAATTGTAAATATGTACATAAGATTTTTGTCAATTTAATTTAAGGAAGACAATAAAGTTTTATTTTTATTTTGAACTCTGTCTCTGACTGTCCAAAAGCTACCCGGATAGTGACTCCTACGAGAGGGACGTCACATAGATAGTGAACTGCTTATTGATTACGTTTTGAGCGAATGCGGACGAAAAATAATAGTAGTCCACAAAATTGGCTTTTGTAGATTTGAGCGACGAAGGGTGTAACGCTAAATGTCATACAACTGGTGAGTAGATTTTATACCGGTTTTTTAGTTGTTTCGCACTGGTAGCGGATCATTCTGATCAAACAGAAAAAAATCAGCTTAATTAAGTTCTTTACGTCAATTGTACAAGATGTTTCTTGTAGACAAGGGATAATATTACTTTGTTGCTTTAAGTAGACTACCCTTTCTAATATTACATGTTTAGATTTCTGATTTAATTGTTAAAGGCACATTATCACAGTTTTAGATTTTAGGTAGATCATTCTAAAACAATGAATATCTCAAAAAGTATACCAGGATATTACGTTGACTTTTTAAATATGGATGTGACGCAAAAGATTTTGTTTTTTTTATTATGACAGTTTTCACATCAGACACAATTTAATTAATTAAGTTTGAATTGTTAGTTAAATATTTTGCATTTTAATTGCAATAAGAATAAGAAAATTATTATTTACAAAACTGTTAGATACAAAGCAAAGTATGTATATCGAATATGTACCTATGTTACTTATGCATTATCCATTTGAGAAAATTACGGTAATAATAATAAGTGCGAATCGGTGTAATATTGAAGATGGTGGTCTATTAAAAACAACCTAAATCATGCCACATGCAACATGTTGTATACCCGAAAAGAATTTTTGGCGATAGACCACTTAATTCCAGAGAACTTTGCTATTTTTATTACCTGACACAATTTTCATGTTTCGTGAACGATGGTAGAGTGAAACACCCTGCATATTTAGTAGTTTAAATCTAAACACAAATGTATGTCAATATTGTTCCTTAAGTTTGTTAAGAAATACTATTGCTAGATGTTTTTGATGAAAATTTAAAGTGCCAGGATTGGAAAATCATTTAGTATAAATAACTAATTTCTAAGTAGAATTGCAACTGTGTTCTCACATATACTTGCTAGGTGTTTGCAATACCAGTTGAAGATCCAAATATTTTTTTGACTTGACCACAAATAGATCATTTTTTATCATTCAATAAAGTAAATTTTCACATGAAACGTAAAAATATGCATAGAACTTATTAAAATTTTAAAATTAAAGAAGAATTTATTTTATGAAATAAAGTCTAGTTATCTGAAAATGACCAGCTTGTGTTTATCAGCACTGCGACTTGGAACACAATCACGTAAGCGACCTCCGAAGTCTAAGTCGTCAAGTCATCAGCAACTCCAAGATGAAATCTTAAGAGGACTTATCGAAGAGGCCATCAAAAATCATTCCCCGAAAGATTGTAACTTTTCAGAAGCTTTTCAAAGCAAAAAAAGTTGCAAAAGTACATCAATCTATCCGACAGATGAATCGAAACACGAACCGCCATAAATAGTTTGTATTGCATAACGACTCACAACAAAATATTATTATTTTTGGCATTCTTGACAATTTACGTAGCTTGGCGAAAGCAGAGGCATATTACATGGATTATTTGGTACATTTTATTATGCTCTCAAAATTTTTTTGAAATTATTTACCATCCATAGCTTATTCAATGGGCATTAGGTGTCTCTTACATTCTGTGTTCTTACAAACGCATAGAAACAAATGTCACGGTCTTTACTCAATTAATTCGTTGCTCTGAAGAAGTTGGTGTTATTGTAAGTCCATCAAAACTTTGTGCCTGAGTTTAAAATTTCGATTCACAAGGCCGTAATTCCCGTTCCGCCATCTTCGAAGCGAATTGGGTGTGTATTTCACTTGACTCAAAATTTTAATTCTCAGTACATATATATGCAACCTATGAATTTAATAAATTGCCACATAAACGATAAGTGTAACAGGTAAAAGGCAATCTACAGCTTTAGTATCCATCGCTTTGGGGCAAAAATGCTGGTGATGAGTTTACCTATCTGCGGTGATGAGTTTACCTATCTCCAGAGGATGCCGGTGATTAGTTTACTATATCTCAGAGGGTCTAATAATTTTAAGGGGGCTATATAGTGATGAGTTCGTACACGTCCTCTCCCTAAATACCCTAATAATGTTAAACAAAAATGTTTTTTGGCACTTTTTGTGAATGGCACTTTTTATAATTAACCGTTCTCTTCGAAACAACGCTTATAGTTAAGGATTCTCGATCGAACCTCCTTACAGTAAAGATATCAGCAATTAGCAATAATTGATATTTAATATTGCTTGTTAATTTGGACAAAATAAGGAATTTTTGATTCAAATGTAAAATTTTGTTTGTATCTAAAATTTAAACAAAGGTGTAGTGTAAAAGTATTACTTCTTCTGGTCTAGTCAAATCAAGTCAAATTTATTGATTACATGCGACATTATACAAAGTACATGTATGAGACAAGTCAAAGTTACAGATATACATCTTAGACGTATATAAATTAATAAACACGATAAAACATACTTTAATGTTATTTTTAGATATATGTAAGTTTTAACGTTAGTAATTGAAACTTAAAAACAGTATTGAGGAAATGTAATATTTTTATTCGTTAACCATTCTTTTATTTTATCTACGGTCCCAGGTGTTTGTTGGTTTCTTATTTCCGAAAATTTCCGAATGGTACGCAGCATTATTCGATACTATCACGGATGGTTCCTATAAATTTGGCAACAATTTTCAATCATTTCACAAACATCTCCGTATTCATATTGTTATGATGATCGGCTGATTTTAATTTAATGATTTTAATGATAAAACAAAAGATCTGCTCCCTCAATCAAACCATGTATTCCACCTGCATGCACTATAATATATCTCTTTTCCTCGTTATCGATGTGTTTTATGGATTTTATACTCTCGTCCTGCCAAATTCGTTTGATACCACCTTTAGCAAAATCCATTTTTCTTCTAAATAAACAAAGTAAGAACATTATTTTTTAAAATTGTTATTTATTAAAAATTCTATTGAGATTCTTTTGAGAACGAAATTAGCTGTTTCACATAAAGCCTTTCTATTGTCTTCCTTTTTGACTTTAAAGCCAATCTGTCTTAAAACTCTCCGGAGACTTGTTATATAAATTTCAAATATATTTCTTTTAATTTTTGTAGCACTGAATCTAAATAAACATATTTTTTCTTTTTCGCGCATTTTATATATTATCTCACTGATTTCAAATTTGCAACCTTCGGGAAGATCTATAGTCTTTGGTTGTCGGCAAGATTTATATTGTACGATATTTTGTTCACTTTGTCCACATTTTTTTTGTTTTTTGCAAAACCGACTTCAGTTTTGTTTCACTAATGCAGAGTGCATCACACACACGTTTATGTACGTACCGAACTGGTCGCAAAAGGACTCCATTGGTTTTCTCAGCAGTAAAATAAGAAAGTACATTAAATATAAAGTTGTCCACATCTAAAACACGTCACGGCGTTTTCGGCTTCAATAAACAAATCTATTATACTAAACTCTCTCTTAACGGACACCGCTCTTTACTGGACACCACTATACGGACGGTTTTTAAAACTAAAATCATTCGGCGATATACGAAACTATATGCCAATTTTCTTTACTTTTTAATATCTGTAAAGACTCGGTACTTTTACTATCAATAGCCAGGATGTTACTTTCGGAACTTTTGAGTACATCCACTCAAAGAAAACAAATATTTAAAACTGTAATAATTTATTACAGTTGTAGTACCTAATAAAGTAATAAAATAGTGTAATATCAAATAAACCCAGCACGCCTCTTTGGTGTTTACATTTCACCAAAACCCAACCCAAATGTCTGACGAACACATTTGGCTTCAGTGACGTCATTGTATTTATTTGTAGGAGCGTTTGCGTAAAAATGATTGTTATTTTCAAATTAAAGCTCACAATAAATTTTGCGTCTATCTGAACATCTATTAACAGAAATAATTTTAGTTTAGATGTCATACTAACAGTAGATCCTTTTTATTGGAATAATGATTAGACCAATTTACTTTCATACTTCTACTTGCACAGTAAAATATTCTTGGACGCAATAATCCAAAACAGTCGTATATTCGTGAAATAATATTTATAGTGGAAAGTGCAAAAAGTTCAATCGTCACAGAATTAAATACTATTTACCAAACAATTGGTAAATGGTATTTTTTTAAGTACATTTATTTACTAAGCAAAGTGTAATTAACTGTTATCGTTCTGCTAATAACTTTATAAGGTTGAAGCAGCTTTTTTAAATAAATAAAAAAAAGTATTGGCTATTTAAATAAAAAAGTTTTAAGATTCCCACACTTTTTACCACAATATAGTTAAAGTACTACTTCTTACGGACAACCTTTTCCTGTTCTTATAGTGATCGACTGATCTCCGAGGTGGGTAATTATATTGCTAGTAGTTTAATATGTTCTAATAAGTTGTTTAAATTTTTCCTTTATATTTGTGAACGCAATATATTTGTTGCAACTCAAATATGAACGCAAATTTGACTAAACGATATTTTTTTGTTATAATGTTTAACAAAATCTATCAGTGTATTAAAGGATAAGACCATGTGACTCATTACGCACTGGCTAATTATTTTTACCACAATAAATAAATATATTATACCATGATAAAATATATTTGCTCACCTTGCAATTTGGCAACACCTTTGAACGTGACTGGGTCAATGATGGTTGGATCGCTCCTGCCTTTTGCGTTTTCCGCATATAGGATAATTCTATAGCTAGCTCCAGCATCTAGTCCATTTGCGCTAAATACAGGAGGGGTTCTGTAGGTAGTAAGGTTGAGTCTCGGCCTAAGACTAGGAAGCTCTAGAACTTCCATAAGAAAACTCTGCGGAAGACCTCCGTCAAAACCCTCCATGCAATCAACTTGCATTGAGTTTGAGGTTTGATTTATTAATGTACAATTTTGAAGTTGAGATGGACGACCTGTAACAAAAATAAACATAAGTGGGGATGTAGTATACTTTGCGTTATATTGTAGGGAATACATTCTTTTTTTAACTGATTTGTCACATTTATGATATTTAAATTTAAAAATTGCTAACGTAAAAAATGATTTTTCTAGACTATATTTATAAACAATAAGTATATAATAAGTATATAATAAGATCAACACAAAGGTTTCTTTATAAAGAACCCCACGAATTTTGTTGCTTATGATGAGGACTAGGAGAAAGACAAACAATTGAAAGTGTTTTAATTTACTGTACTGATAAAAAACTAACAGTAGTTGAAACACTACCGCCACAATTATACACATATACATGGGTTTCTTTTCAGCAACACGTCAGTACATCACCCGCAGCTCTTTATAACAGTAGATAATCAAACACGCCGAAATGTAACGCATTAAAGTTGCAGTGGTTATATAAAAACTAAAAGCTAAAACTGCAGAAATAGACGGGGATGTAGTTAAAATAACAGTAGCCACATATAAAAGTTACTTCCGTATCTTTTGCATTAGGTTTGTAAATTATGAATTTAGCTAACCGATTAGGTTATATTTATCTTTGTACTTATAAAAACAGCATCAAAAACAAACTGCGTCATTATTAAATACATCAATGGCACTCCCAGAATCACGAAATTTCGTTCATAATTTTTTCTACTAACAAATTTAATGACTGGCTATTTCTATATACTAATTTAGATTCACTTGCCGCTAAGTTTGATTTGTATGCACAGTGCAACTTCTTAAACCGGACATTATCTGTATTGCCGAATCCTGGCTCAAACCCACAATTCCTGACTCCTCTGTTAATATAAATGGATATACAATATATCGTAAAGACAAAGAAAATCGTGTGGGTGGCGGTGTATGCATTTATTTATCCAATTTTATTACCACAACTTTCAAAATTAACCTTAAGCTAATAGATATTACTGGAATAGATGCAATTCACTTATCTGTTACTAAAAATTTTTTTGTCTTAATCTAATATGTCTATATTAGATTAAGACAAAAATCGTCCACCTAATACACTACTTGCACACGATAATGTTTTCTTCACAAAACTTGAAGAACTATCATCTCTTGATAATCTTATCATTACTGGAGATTTTAATTTCCCAGAGATCACCTGGCCAATAACTTCATCATCTAACGCCAATAACGCTCATAATTTATTTAAAAGCTTTGTAGTAAATTCAAACCTGATACAACTCATTACAGAACCTACTAGATTTAGGAATAATAACCAACCTTCTACCTTAAGATCTAGTGCTTATTAATGACGAACAGCTGATTTCATCTCTCGAAGTCAGTTCTCCCAAAGGAAAGTCAGATCATGCAGTTATAACGGCTCACATCCAGTTCAATCAAATATTACCCCGCAAAAATAACATTGTAACATATGCTACTACCGACTTTTCTGAAGTTGACACTGAACTCTCTCAAATCGACTGGCATTTATTTTTTGCAGACTTAAACGACCCCTCATTAATGTGGATTGCATTTCTCGATAAAGTCCACAATATAATATCTACAAATACTATTTTCCGTAAGAGTTATAAAAACAACCTCAAACCCTGGATAAATCGAACAGCAATTAAACAAATTAATCACAAACGACATCTACGGCGAAAATTTAAACACACTGGGCTTCTTAGTGATTTCCAAAGCCACCGCAGATTTTCAAATAACTTAAAAACATCTCTAAAAACCCTAAGACGAAATTTTGAAGCAAACGTTATTGAAAGTGGTAACATTAAAAAAGTCTATAAATACATACGTTCCTCCATGACACCTAAAGTTTCCATTCCGCTACTTCAAAAATCCAACCAGACTTTATGCTCTTCTGACAAAGAATCTTCCAAAACTCTGTCTTTAGCATTTTCACAGGTTTTCACTAAAGAATTAAATGATGGTTATCTACCTGCTGTTAACTGTAATCGTGTCGGCGCATCCTTACAGCAAGTTGAAGTTACAGTGGATCATATCAAACAACACTTAATTAAACTTTTCACGGCCGCTTCACCTGGTTTAGATGGTTTAACACCAAAACTGTTAAAAAGGTGCACAGACACGCTTGCAATACCCTTAACGTTAATTATGCAAACCTCTTTCATCCAAAACTCCTTACACCTAGTTGGAAATTAGCTTCCGTTACCCCTATTTTTAAAAAAGGCAACAAACTCAACCCCAACAATTATTGTCCAATTAGCTTCCTGCCAGTAGTTGCCAAAGTTACGGAAGCCATTATTTCCGAGGGGATGACCAAATTCCTTCTCCAGGAACATGTTATTCCAACACAACAACATGGATTTGTCTCTGGTTGCTCTACTCTAACCAATCTCCTACATTGTGTTAACGACTGGACCTCATCCCTTAACAGTTCGCAGCCGGTCGATTGTTTATCTAGATTTTTCTAAAGACTTTGACCGTGTACCTAAGCGCAGACTTCTACATAAGGTAGAACATTTCGGAGTTCGCGGTACTTTACTTCGTTGGATAGATGATTTCCTGACAGATCGATATTACAAAGTTAGAGTTGGCGAATCTTTCTCACAGGACAGGTTAGTGGAAAGTGGAGTGCCTCAGGGTTCTGTCCTTGGACCTCTGCTTTTTACGGTTTACACCAGCGATATTCCTTATTATATCTCAAGTAAAATATCGTTTTACGCTGACGACACAAAATATATGCCAATCCAAACACAAACCAGCTAACCCTCCAAATGGACTTGGACTCTATTTTAACTTGGTGTTCCCAGTCGTTACTACCCTTAAACGCGGAAAAAATGTGTAGTGCTTCGAATTGGCAAAAATAACCCACTTGTGCCATACTTTGTAAACGGGCAGCCATTAGAATTTGTGTTTTCGTATAACGATCTTGGTGTTATCGTGAACAGCAGCCTAACTTGGTCCGACCATGTTAACTCTATTTGTAAACGTGCAACTCGACTGTATCTTATTCGGAGGTGTTTTTCAAGAGTTTCAATGCAATCATTTTGCAAACTTTACACTCTGTACGTAAGACCCATACTTGAATACGCTGGACCAACGTGGTATCCGATCTGGTTCGAGACAAGACTCTGTTGGAAAACGTTCAAAGAAAAGCCACTCGAATTTCTTTGGGACCGAGAAGACCGTATTATGCAGAAATACTTAGTATGGCTAACCTAACTACTTTGAACTTCGCCGACAACGTGGAGACTTAATTACAACATTCAAAATACTAAAATTCAATTTTGGAAACCTCGATGAAATATTTATCATAAATCAAGATGAACGCCTCAGAGGTCATCAATATAAACTAAAGAAAGAAAATTTTTCTATAAGACAAAGAGAGAACTTTCTTCCAAATAGAGTTTTTGGGTGCTGGAATCACCTCAACGATAACATTGTCTCCGCTTCCTCTACCAACTTGTTTCAAAAACAAAAATTGTAATTGTATTTCTTTTATTTGTAATTTTTGTTATTTACTAGTAGGTAATTAATGAAATTTCTTTGTTTTTGGGCATAATAGGGACTTAGTTCCTCTGCCCTCGCTTATATTATATAAAAATACATAAAAATTTTAAAAAATAAGTCTAAAATAATCAAAATACTTTTTTTTTGAAAATATGTATGTATAATACATTTTAGCTGTCTTCGGACATTCGTCGTGAAGTGACGTTGCTGTGGATATCGACGCGCTTGTTGTCGGTAATCTTGTTTTAAACAAGTTTCGTTTGCACTTTCGATGTTTGCTGTTATTTTATGATCGACTCTCTAAAATAACGAAAATGTGTAGAATATAGTTTAACTATTTGATAAATAATCAAATAAATGTTAGTAGATCGTCGAGATACGATCTTATCACTGATAACTTCATTTTTAAGACGTTTACACAACGATAATATTTTGTCGTCTTGTTCACTATCTTTACTTATATTGCCTCAGTATACTGTTTATTGAGAAGCTTTTTAGTAATGTCCGCCCATCGCTGTGGAGATCTTCTGCGTTGGCGTTGAGTCTGAGGCCTTCCTTGGACCACCAACCGCTCCATTTTGTGATCACTTCGATGGATATGGCCAAAGAACTTTAAAGTTCTAGAGTAAACGGTACTGGAGAGACGCTGATCCATTTAATTTCATCCAAAACCGAGATATTTGTACGGCGAGCCGTCCATGGAATTCGAAGCAGGCGTCTCCATGTCCACATTTCAAAGGCGTCTATACGTCGTCCATCTGATTCTTTGACTGTCCATGTCTCGCATGCATAGTAAAATATGGAAAAGACCAGAGTTGAAACGAGTCTTTTTTTGTTTGTCATAGTAATGTGACGATCACGCCAGACCCCGTTTAGTTCACTCATTGCTGCTCTTGCTAGTTGAATGCGTCTTCTAATTTTGGATTCACAACTGCCTGTGTTGTTAACTAGAGCTCCAAGATATATCATAGATGAGACTACCTCGCATCCCGCAATAGTTTGGGTTTCAGGAAACTGTCGTTGGCGATCAATAACCATGATTTTGGTTTTGTTGTAGTTAACCATGAGTCCAAATTTAGCACTTTCTACCTCGAGTTTTTTTAATAATTTAATAATTTCTTCTGGAGTAGAGGCTAGAAGTGTAGTGTCGTCTGCGAAACGCAAGTTAGATATCTTAACACACCTAGGTTTACTCCTCCCTCCCAACCATCCAAAACTCTGCGCATTATGAACTCCGAATAGATGTTAAATAATAAGGGAGAAAACGCATCCTTGGCGTACTCCCTTCTCCAAAGTGCATTTGTCAGACAGATATCCGTCCATTCGATAATATGCCAGGTTATCTTGATACAGTTTGCTAAAAGGTGAGTCAAGTGTTTAGACACACCCATTGTCGTCAATATGTTCCATAGTTTGTCCCATCTAACATTATCAAAGGCCTTTGTATAATCGACGAAACATATAAATATCTGGATCTGGTATTCTCTGGCTTTTTCTATGATGTTTCGTACATTAAGGATTTGTTCTCTAGTACCTCTGCCCTTTACTGCCAACTTATGAAGTTTTCTAGACGCCGTTGCAGTATGTAGAGGATCACCTTACTGGCGTGTGATATTAGAGCTAATAGCCTGTAGTTGTGACAATTATTGGTTGAACCTTTCTTATGAAGAGGTATGATTATGGTCTTTCTCCAATCCTCAGGCCAGACGCCTGTGTGCCATATTTTATTGCACAATCGATGTAATACTTTCACTCCACATTCCGGAAGATGCTTCAAGACGTCTGCAGTAATGAGATCATATCCTGCTGCTTTGTTTAACTTAAGTCTTTTTAAAGCGAATTCCGCCTCTGAAAAAAGTATGTCAGGTTCAGACTCAAAACTAGTGTGGTGTGTCTCTGTTGAAGGAGAGTGGAAAGTAGAGGTCTGGCAGTCAGGTAAAAACGGGGCGTCCGCTGGCATCTGGTAAGTACTGGCGTATAAAGACTTACAATACGCCCTCCAAACATCAATAACCTTGTCCAAATCCGTCTGTACATTACCTTCATCATCTTTGATAGACCAAGATTTCTGCTTGAATTTACGTGTGAGTTGTCTGACTTTATCAAAAAGTTCTTTGGTGTTATTTGTGTCGGCGTGTAGTTGAATTTCTCTGCAGATTTTCTCTATATGCTTGCTTTTGTCTCGTCTACAAGCAGCCTGAATAGCTCTAGATAGCTGTCGGTACTGGGAATTCCTGAGAGGGTTCTCGATTCCAGCAATTTCAGCTACATGTTCGTATAATACAACAATTACTTCGTCTAAAAGCATTCTGCGATATATTCTTTTGGCTGCCAAAATTATTCCGTGATCCATGGGTCTAATAAGCAATGTTGTATTTTTTGGCAAAAACAAACACCAAAAGTTGCTACCTTCTGAACGTAGAAAATTTTCAGAGGGGTGAGCAGGAGCGTGGTCTAAAAGCAATAAACATTTTACCTCTTCTGGTAGTATTCTCAATTTCTTCTCTTAAAATTTTTTTACTGAAGGTACAAATTCTTTAAAAAACCTTTTGAAAATATCTGAGGTGAACCATGCCTACTTAGAGCTACATTATGAAACAAGCATATGATGCATTATATCTTTTAAAACTCTAGGCTTATGATATTTGCCAACCATTACAGGAGTCAATCTATGCGATTCCTCAGCGTTAGCACAAAGCAGTACCAAGATCTTGTCCTTGCTGATTTTCGTTCCAGAATTCGATTTTTAAAATACGCCAAAGTATGCCATAACAAACCAGTTTTATCAACACTGTAAATCTGAGATTCTAATTGTATTTCGTTACTTATATGGGCTACTATTTTTTGCCTAACAGGTTCTTTTTCTTCTTTTGTTTTTCGTCTTGGTATAATATTAACAGTATGTTCTTATTTTTTTTACATTTGACTGGATTTTTTATCCGTTATATCTAGAATCCGTTAAGTAGAGGTCAGTTGTATCGAGGTTTTACTGTACTTCAAAAGGCCTTTCATTGAGTGAAAAAAAAATAAACTTTGGATCATTTAGCATTTGCACAAGAGAAAAGGGAATAGCAGATAGCTTGAGTAAAATGTTTATGGATACTTACAGGAATATGGAAGGCTGAATTTCCAACACCCATTCTGTTTAATTTATATAGCAAATGGATTATGTAATGCCGCATATGATTGTAATGGAGAAATGCGAATTTAAAAGAAAAAATATTGAACCTACGCTACACTGATAATATCACTCTTCCTTATTCTCTATCTATCAAAAATCGACGAATTATTCTCAAAAATAAGTGAAATAAGCAATGAAATAGGTTTATAGATCAACACATCAAAGAGTAAAATGATGAAGATCAGATCAAAAGAAAGATATCTTGCCCTGCAGATTATGTTGGAATTGAGATGGTAAAGGAATCTTCATATCTAGGTGCAAAAATTAACAACATCAGTAAAATAGAACAGAATAGAAATATACTTTATTGTCACTGAAAATTGTACAATTTTATGGAAAAAGCTTACAAAAAGTAAAAAAAAATAACACTAATAATTAAATTTTACTGAAATTACAAAAATCCTCACTATCACAAAATAAAAGATAACACGGGGATAGATTGATATTAAACTAGCATTTGATAGATGGCGCTACTTGATACGAATTGGTTTCGGTGTTGACATTTGCCCTTCATGACATGACGTCTGTCAAAATTTTAAGTTATAAAAACAATCAGTTTGGTTTTTACAGCCGTACTTTTTTTTTGAACCTATTCTCTATCCTTCCATTATTGGATATAGGTCTCCCCTAGTTCTCTCCACCTTTCCCTATCTTGAGCTGTTCTCTGCCATGTGAGACCTCCTTGTTTCCTGATGTTATCTTTCCACCTCATCTGTGGTCTGCCTCTTGATCTCTTTGCATTGCATGGACGACACTTTCCGATGGCATTGTTCCATCGTCCGTCTTGGAGACGTTCATTGTGTCCAGCCCATTTCCATTTCAGTTTTGCTGCTTGTTCTATCGCGTCTACTGTCTTTGTTCTGGTTCTGATCCACTTGTTACGTTTTCTATCTCTAAGTGATACACCAACATTTGTCTCTCCATCGCTCTTTGTGCCTTCCTTATCCTATCCAAATTGGTCTGTGTAAATGTCCATGTCTGTGCTCCGTAGGTGAGCACCGGTATTATGCAGGAGTTACATACCTTGCTTCGTAAGTATAGAGGGATTGTTTGATTTTTTAGAACGTAAGAAAGTTTGGCCGAACGCTGCCCATCCCATTCTTACTCGTCTCGATATTTCGGCTGTTTGATTTTCTCTGTTAGCTCTGATTGCTTGTCCTAGATAGATATACTCATTTACCTGTTCTATTTTTTTTTATTTTTATTGCCTTTTGGTCTCCCATGTTTTGTCATTACTTTTGTTTTGTTGAAGTTAATTTTTAGGCCTTTTTGCAGTAATTTTTCATGAAGTTCATTCAGCATTAATTCCAGTTCTTGTCGTTCCAAGGAGATCAGGAATATATCATCCGCATATCTAAGGTGATTCAGGTATTTTCCGTTAATACATATTCCACTATTTTCCCAATCTGTTGATTTTATTATGCCTTCGAGGGTCAAGGTAAACAGTGTAGGTGAAATTATATCACCTTGTCGGACTCCTCGTTTAACTTTTATATTATCCGTTATTAATTTGTCGTCCAGAATTACGGTCATGGTTGCATTTGGTAATTGGTTGCCGTACAAAGCAAGCAAATTCTGTGTTTTCGGAGAAATGGAAAAAGTCGAGTATCGTTCGGTGATTAAGTTCCTCCACAAATAGGGTAAAACGAATGTGAAAATCAAAACCGACCTGGATAAAGTTTATGGTGAGGTTGCACATTCGTTAGCAACAGTAAAATTTTTGGAAAGCTGAATTTGGTCGTACGAGTGTTTTTGATGAATGAGCGTCCTTTGAGGCCAAATGAAGTTACCACGCCGGAAATAATCAACAAAGTAAATGTCATGATTATGGCATATCGTCAAATTAAGCTCCGCGAGTTAATAGAGGTCCTAAACATTTCATTTAAATGCATACACAACATTATTCACCATCACTTGGACATGAAAACTCTATCCGCGCGATGCGATACAATCGATTAAATGCAAAAACGTGTGATCACTTCGGAGACGCTTTTGGCGATGATACGGCGCCATACGAAGAATTTTTTTTGCAGGTTTATCACCGTTGATGAAACCTGTTACACACTGAAAACCAAAGAACAGTCGAAACAGTGGCGCAAACGCGGCGAAGGGCCGCCAAAGAAGGCAGAGTGCACATTCGGCCGGCAAAGTGATGGCGACTGTTTTCTGGGATGCGAAGGGCATCAACCACATCGAATACTTGGAAAAAGGAAAAACAATCAATGGTGAGTACTACGCAGCATTATTGGATAGATTCGATGCCGAATTGCGTCGAAAACGCCTCGGTTTGGAACGCAATAAAGTGCTCTTTCACCAAGACAATGCATCGGCTCACCGATCGGCCGTCGCCATGGCAATATTAGAGAAATTGGGCTATGAATTGGTTGAACACCCACCGTATTCCCCTAACTTGACTGAGCAACGGTGCCTACAAGCCTATTGTGTACTAGTATTCTGATTAATTCTTTACAATTTAGATCACTATTGTTTACCACAGTGTGTATCACAGTCGTGAGTTGGTGTGGACACAAGTTGTTTTGCTCTCTGCACAAGCAAAATTTTTACAAAGTGTGTAATAATAAGCTATAAACTACAATTGTAAGTTATCTTTTTATTCATTTAATTAACGTTAGGGAGGAGATTTGCAAGATTATTAATAAAATATTGTACTCAAGATATACAGCAAACATACTGAATATAACAAAAACTTGTATAATTAAGCTTGTATAAAATGTATAGAATATATAAAAAAGTAAAAACGAAAAAGAAATTTTAAAAGAGAAAAAACAGAAAATGAAAGACATAACTCAAATCCTGTATCACTGTATCAATACTTAAAACTAGATATTCAAAAACGGACAGCTAGTATAGCTATAGAAGGAGAACAATAAAAGAAGTATTTCGAAGAAATCTACCAAGAAACAGATAGGGGCGAAAAAAGAAAAACAAGTCCAAACATGGAACAATACAAAGAAGAAGAAGAATTAACCTATAGAGAATGATAGAGAAAATATGCAAAGTTTAAAAATGGGAAAATACCGGAGAACAACTCTTTCTTCCCAGATGGATAACGTCACTAGAATCATATATATGCCAAAAATCATAATTTAAAAATAAAATCGACTTTTTTTGAAAGTCATGCCCATACATATAAACATATACTTAAAAGAAATTTAAAATAACAATCATTATATTTGTCCCTTTCATCTCTACGCCCATGACTACTATATGTACTAAATATTCAATGATAAATAAAATTGTTTGGAAAATTAAATAATGTTTAAATGAGCGAAACAATATTAAAAAATATATTATGATTTCTCCATTCTTTGATTTTTAAAACCAAAGTGACAAAAATCAGAACATAATAATTAAAAAAATATATTCCCTCATTGGGATCGAACTCACGACTTTTGGTTCGACAATAAAGACCGCGTCTCAACCATCGAGCAAAAAGACAAAAGAGGGAATCTAATCCTTGACCAATGATGATGAAAAGGAGACCAAAAAAGTGGCCTCTGATGGCGGACATATCCGGAAATGCGAATGCGCCAAATTTAAATTTTCCTACACTTATTAACAGTAGCTATATAATATTTCTCAGAATGTGTCTTAGACGAGAAAGTTTTAATTAATTATTAACGATAATAGTCTAAAATGCGACACAATTGTTAAAAAACTTCAATATAAATAAGATTTCATGTGACATTTGGGACAAGCAATAACATAACCCAACTAAATTTGATGTCAAACAAGGAGAGAGACTCTCTTTCCTTATTTAATGTGGTCTCTAAAAATCGCACTTCCTGTCTAACAATATTTTTGCCCCCACTACCTTTACATTCCCTCTTTTATCTTTTTGCTCGATGGTCTCAACTCATTCGACCAGCTAATCAATGTCATTATTTTGTCAAGAACATTATTAAAGATGTCAGTATTTTGGTTGTATTTTGTGTTTGTGTTTATTTATTTATTGTATTCCAAAAATGGAACGTTTAGTGCGAATCATAGAAGTTCCAGGAAGAATATTTATTTGCAAAAGACTTTGGCCAAATGTATATATCTACCGAATTAATATAAATTAATAATCATATTAATACATATTAAATATATTTACAAAAGAAATACTTTTATTCTCGAGAGAGAAAGAAAGAGAAATATATCTTCTGTCTCTCTCTTACCTATAACTTACATATGTAATGGTTTTGCCAATTCACTTCCGTACAAATTTCAAACGTCGAACGTGCGTATAGAAGTATAACTTCAAAGAAATGTTTAAAGATACAAAGATAAAACGAAACATAAAAATCAAAATCTATAAAACGACCATAAGATCAATAGTAGTATACGCTGCAGAAACATTACCATGAACAGTAAGAGAAGAAGAGCAATTGGAAATTTTTAAGGGAAAGATTATTATAGAAATAATGAGACCAACGAGGAAAAATGAAAGGATGCAAGGTAACGGATGAATCACAAAATACAAAAATGAATAGGTCAACAGAACATAGAAGAATTAGATGATATGGACACAAAAAAAAAGAAAGAAGAGTAATCCGCTAAGAGTTTTAATGAAATGAATACCACTAGGTAAAATAACTAGAGGCAGACCTAAACTAAGATAGAGACAGCAAGTCAAAGAAGACTTAAGAAGTGTGGAAATTAGATATATAAAAAGGACAATCAAAAAGAGAGAGAAGAATGGAGAAAAGTAGTGGAAACAGCGAAGTCACACCAGAAACTGTAAAACCAAACCCAGAAGTAGATGATCCCCCACACAAAAAGTAGTAGTAGATCACTAGTATTATACAATGTCATCTGTATGTGTTCATGCTTTGGATTTATACATTAGTATGCTGAAAACACATCGTCTGAGAATACGAGTACTCGAGATGAGATTTAGGTAGCGACTGCATATTCTTAACATTTATGAATCTAATCGTACTTGCTCTATCGGGT